GCCGCGATTTCCGGCCACATGAGGGTTCATTCAATCTATTTTTACGTATTATTTTGGATTCATTTCCTTTTGTGTCTTCTATCTATCATGTCTTTTGACACAGAAAATTTTATTAATTCCATATATTTGGAAGAGTCAATTTGGAATACAGGTAAGTATTAAATAGAGTACATGAATATATATATATATATNAATTATTATTATATGAGGTATTCCTCCCTCATAATGACGCCCTTGAATATAAACCTGCATTGTTCAAATTAATGAATGTTTTTTTTTATGTTATAGTTAATAATTTTAAAATACAGTAAATAACTCAACTTACCAATTCATCAAACGAGCGTATAGACATACGGTAGTACCTGAAGAATTCTTCAGGATAACTCCTCAAAGTTAAAAAATTAACTTGAAATTGACCTTCTCGAGGTCTTTTTAAATTTAGGGGGTGAACCCAATGTTAACGAATAATTGTTTTTTTATTTATTTTATGTTTTTTTGTACAGCGTAGATATATGGCGTATACAACGCATCCAACTTCTACATCATCTAATGTATCCATACTTATTTTAACTTATTTTATACTTTATAAAATAAAAAAATATTCAGAACAAATGCTATCTCGAGGAATCTGTTATGATTATACTGTAGCTTTTGGCGGGCTAATTTTCTTTGTAAAAACGCGTCAAAACGCTTGCAGTATGCACATGAACGGCGTTCGCGTTCAAAACGCCGCGTTTTTAAAAACGCGTACGCGCGCGATTAAACGCCTAGTGTGTAAGCCACTNGTTCGCTTTGTTATATTGTTATTATTTATTATGTTTTCACTTAATGTATATTTAAATGAATCCGATGGCGGATCCCAACACAGGCCTAATATTTTCGTCGTGTCGTTATCGATAATACGCGGACCGTCACTATCTTTATTGTGTTCGGCAGGTAATAAACTACTTATTAAACTATTATCGTTCGATGCCCATTTCCGTAAATGTAGACCGGCACCTTTCATTACGGCAATAATATTGTCTCGTAATGTTATATCCTCTGCCCGTTCATTGCACCGCCTAACCAATCATCCACATAAAAATCGTTAACTAATGATTGACACGCGTCAGGATACCTACTGAATTCACATTCAGCTAACTTTTCTAGGCAAGCTGTTGACAAATAACTTGCGCTTATTGTACCGTACGTTACAGTTCGTAGGCGGTAGATTTTCAATGGCCCGTTTGGATTATCACGCCAGACAATTCTCTGATAATCACGATGACTCTCGCCCACCATTATCTGTCGGTACATTTTTTCGATATCTGCTGTTAGTACATATTTACACATGCGAAATCGAGCCAGGATGTATAGCAGATCGTCCTGTATAACAGGCCCTTTTAATAATACGTCATTCAGACTAAGACCCGAGTCGGTTTTACATGACGCATCAAAAACGGCTCGAAGCTTCGCGGTTGTGCTATTATTATTTATAACGGCACGATGAGGTAAATAATAACACTGAGTCTCCTTTTCTTTTGACTCCTCACCCGTCACAAGTTCCATGTGTCCTAGGTTTTCGTACTCGTTCATAAATTTTGAATACTCTACTCGTATATCGGCATTTGCTTGCAGACGACGCTCCAACGATAAAAATCGCCTTTTTGCCTTTTCATAGGATTTACCCAATTGGCTTACGTTACTTTTGAATGGCAATTGTACCACGAATCTTCCATGTTCATTGCGCTGAACTGTTTGATCAAAATATTTCTTGCACGCTTTTTCTTCTAACGTCCATGCATTTTTTTCTGTGTACTCGTCCAAGCGCCAAAATTTGGCCAGTATATTTTCTAGTGATTGGTTAGAATTGTCATTCACCGTGAGGAAAACTGCCGTTTTTTGACTTATACTATTGAGCTGATTTTCCGATGAACCAGCAACTACCCATCCGAACTTTGTTTCCTGAAATACAGGACCGCCTGGCCGTGGCTTTATTTTCCCTGCACACATTAAATCATAGAAGTGACCCGCTCCTATTAATAGGTCAATTTTCTGTGGCACGGTGAAACACGGATCCGCTAGGACTATGGCTTTCGGCACCACGCAGCTATCATTTAGTCGGATGCCTGGTAGGTTACTCGTAATGCTCTTAACTACTAAACATGAGAATGTTACCGAATAGTCATTTAAACGGAAGTTGGGTGTAACCATTACGCGCGATTTAATTCTTTGTACGTTTCCACCAATTCCTTGGACGCTTTGGTCGACATGGGTTTTCGGTAACCGCAAAATCTGTGCCATACGTTCGGTTATAAAATTACTTTGTGATGCAGAATCTAGTAACACGCGACACTGCTCCCATTCACCACGATTACTCTTGACCAAAACAACTGCGGTTGGTAATAATATCGACGTAGCAGCCGGTAAGCTAGTATGTGCACTAACGGTTGCTAATTCATTTTGAACTACTTGTTCTGACTCGCTATTTTCCGAATTTTCCGTTAAGTTTGTTGCTGAGTTGGACTCTGACTGATCGGTCCGTGCACTTAAGTGTAAAAGTGTATTATGTGGATTGCCACACTTGAAACAGCCTCGAGCCAAACATTTTTTCTTAGGGTGTGCCTGTAGACAATTCCTGCATAAATTGCGCTCACTAATGCGCTTAATGCGTTCAACTACGGACAAGGCCAAAAGACTAGGACATCGATACACCGAGTGATTTGAGTGACAATTAAAGCATTTTTTGTCCGAATTTGTCACCGCATAAGCATTGCTCCGTACCATAGATTTTCTGACATCTTGACTATGGGTAGCCGGTGCTGTTGCGTTTCTCTGATTTATGGCTTTAGATGATTCGATCGCTTCTAAAATTTTAAACCGTTTTTCTAAAAATTCCACCAATTCGATAATTGTAGGAAGAGAGTCCTGAGCCGATTCCGTTTCCCACGCTCGAAGACAACTTCTATCTAACTTGGTGGTTACTAAATACGTTAACATAGGACTCCACGACTCTGGCTCTTGATCAAGGGTTCTTAATGCTTGCATGTGTCCTTTTATTGAATCTGTAAACGCTCGAAGTTTAATTGCTGATTCTACAGTTAACGTCTCTAAGTGAAATAACGCTTTTACATGGGCTTGTATTAGACTTTTTTTATTGTTATATCTTTCAATTAATGTCCGCCATGCCACTGCGTAATTTGACGCCGTGATTTCCAAACAATTAACAGCCTGTTTGGCATCGTCTTTTAAAGCCGCTTTCAAATAAAAAAAATTTTGTATCAATTGTAACAATTGGTCATTGGTATGAATTAATGCCGAAAAAATATCATAAAATGTTGTCCATTGCTTATAGTCGCCATGAAATGATGGGATATCTAGCGGGGCTAATCTAATAGCTGGCGCCGCTACTGTTGGTGTCGCTACGATTGAAGATGTTGCTGCCGTATTCCCTACAACAGCGTCTGACACGTTGCTGACTACCCTACTCAATTCAGATAGCCTCTTCTCCGCAATCGTACTGGCTTTAAAGTATGAGTCTTCAAAATCAGCTCTATAATTTTGCTGTTCCTCTACGTTTATCCCTTCTAGCATGTCGGTTTCCAACTGTACTTGGTCGTACTCACTCCATGCTTCCTCAATTTTTTCTCTTCTAAGCCGAATTTCGATTAGGTCCGACTTTTCGTCTTGCACAAACTTTAAAAATTTTGTCAATGCTGATTTTAATTGACCTCTCCTTATGCTTAATCGCGTAACTTCATTTTTGCGATTATCTTCAGGCATAATTTGTTTTGTTGGTTATTATCGATAATAAATAATTGTTCCAAAAGAAACCAACCGCCTCAGATGACCGTTACTAATATATATGTATATATATATATATATATGTACGCTCTATTAACTGTCAGAGAGCGTTCGTGGTAATTTGAGCAAAGTACAACTATAAAGATAGTACCACAATAACCGCTGTACGCCGACACTATAAATATTGCGCACGGGTTTTTTACACTTAACTATATTTGTTTCACAATACTTATGACGATATCTAATGCACTTATACGAACTTTAAATTAAAATACGTTAATAATATATAATAATATTATTTTATTCTGCGTATAGCAATCGCTGCTGCTACGCACTACGTTGGGCAGAAACTAACCCTTTTCTAACTCGATGCGTTAGAATTATTTACGAACACGCACATACAACGCTTAACTCACGTACCCTAATAACGCATTTTCACGTTTCCGATATTCACTAGACGTTCCGGGCGAAGGACCATATGTTTCGGCGTGATCTCTTACGACTATAAGATCTTCGATAAATTAAATAAAACGTAAAAGAATGAAAAAAAAAATATGCGTTTATTATATGTACGCGAGCGGTGCGCTTTACAAAGGTAGACTAACTGATTTGAAACCCGGACAACTATGCAGCCGCCCAACAACGATAAGATAAAACAACAATAGCTACACTTATTGTGTAGGCCTAAACAGTACCAATACCGACCGCGAGCTGCGGGTAGGCAACAAATCATTAAAGGACCGACGACCGTCGGTTGTGTTGAATTGCCCCTCCCGCGGTTGGCGCGTAAATGAAAAATCGGTCGGCTCGTTCTCATATGTATGAGTGCGCGGAATAAGTTCGTCTTGCCAACCCCTGCAACACATCCGTGATAGCGACGTTTGTACGTACGACCGTCTCGTGTTGCGGGCTTGTTGTGCTTCGATGTCCGCGAGGCGCTCGTTTAGTGTTGCGTCGTGTCGCGTCGGGTCCGTCGCTCCCGATGGACCGAATATAACGCGATGCGCTTCCGATCGTCGACTATCATTTCGGTCAACGTTAACTTGTCGAATAGTCGGTTGTACAGCAACGTGTGGGGACGGCGTCATATTTTGACTGATTCACTCAAGCATGTTGGAATTCTGTCGCTGTTCCATTGACATACACGACAGCGACCTTTCTAGTTCAGTCATCCGTGCCTCAATCCGCGCGTTATTCGAAATATAGCGAATATTCTGTCGGATCGCCCCAACTTGTTCTGCCGCGTACGCTATCGAGCGAGCAACGTATACGTGTTCAACGTACGGCGTGCCTAGTAGTCCGCTTGCGCGCATCATTTCCCCCGGTTGGTCGACATCAGATTCGTCTTCTGATGTGTGTAGCGCGAGGTTCACCGGATGTTCCTCCGGTAAAGGCGCTACGACGGGCCGCTGATTGCTCGCGTCGATTTCTTCTTCGCTGACACCGTCCGTGGTGTTGTCGAAAACCCCCACTTCGGGTTCGCGGACCGGAATTTCGCTATCGAGCTGCGTACGGAGTAGTAAAATTTCGGTAGCTGGGTTCCCCTCTTCGCTACGTAGGTTTTCTTCTAGCATAATTTGCATGTTGGGTTTCGTCGCGTAGCATGGTAGTTGTCTGAAAGCGCATAATAATCAAAAGTAGCTACGTTAATAGCGGAGATAAACAATATTTCCGTGTGCGGTCAAATTTGCTACTGCTGTAGAAAACAAGTGTTATTATTATTGCTATTATTGATGTCGTAAAGTACCGTCGATAAGATGGTACGGGGCTGCCGTTTATGATATGGCACCGAGTGAACAATAATAATAACGGTTACCTGGGAATCGACCGCTTTGACAAGGTCAGACGTAAATATACTATTTTTATCTACCAATAGACTGTAACAATCGGCCGGAAATTAACTTTCTGTCGATATCAATAAGGTCTTTATAATAAACTGTAACCAACACTTTTCAACGACAATAGTTACAGCGGACTGTATTAGATAAACTACTCTAACTTTATTTTTATAAAAAAATTTCCAGAGACCAAGTCAAATCTAATCCCGCTAACACGTAACTGTGAATAACCCAGGTAAAAATTCACTGCTGTCATCAGTGAAATTCGTTCAAACAACTATATGAACAATAAAAATTTGTAAGGGAGACTTCACCGTTCCAAGTTAAAACTAAAATCTAATATACAGTAGAACCTCATTAATCCGGACAGCTGTCTAGTATTACGCAGTTTATGCCGTAGACTAAAATAAACATAAAAGCAAGTTCCTCGAATTTCCCATAAGTACATATATTCTTATCTACCGTCATTAAAGTTATCATAAACTAATATCGTGTTGCAATACTTATATATTGTATATCAGACATAGTAATTGGTATAATATAATATTCTTAAATCTATAATACGAACATGTTTTTTGGTTATTTTGTTTAATCCGGACTTTCATTAAATCAGACAACCTAGAGCCCTTATTGGTTCGGATTAATGAAATTCTACTGTAATTAGAAATAAAACTGAATCGGCTCAAAGCCTCTTACCTTAACTTCTCTCGTCCGGTTTAGATTTCGTACTAGGTCTAGTTTTCTTAAATAATACATTCATTTCAGGATTTGATTCTAAATCACGTGTCAACTTTCTTTTTCTCGCAACTGCTTCATTATTTTTAGTATCGCCAAACAATAAATCCTATAAGTTATACATGTATTAAATCTATGATTATTGAAATAATAAATTGTTTTATAATAATTACAGTCTTGCGAGGAGTATCTGAAGAATATTTTGTAGTTTTTCTTTTAACAATAATTGATGACTGGCTAATAATATGTCCTTCTGTTAATGTACTGAATCCAAGTAGAAGTGAATCTGGAGACTAGAAATAAAATAAAATTAGGAAAAAAACTGTTAACCTTTTTAAAAGGTAAAATAATTACCGATCCTGTTGGAGATACAGCAATGTCTAAGAATTCATCATCTGAATCATCTGTACATGATGTATTGCTCTCAGATAATGTTGACACTGATCTCGAATCATCTGGATTAAGGGAACCACTGTCCTGTGAANTGAGCAGTAAGAGAACCACTGTCCTGTGAATTAGGATCATGATCTTCAAGTGGATATGGTCGTCTTACACGGCGTTTGTATTTTGCAAACTAAAAACAATAAATTACAATATTTATTTTCATTAATATTGAATTTCTAGAAAATTATTAAATTTAATAGTAAATTTGATATCTAACATTGATCGTTCTTTTTAACTATAGCTATTTAACAATACATAATTAACAGTTTAGAGATGAATAAAAAATTTAATTAAATTTACTGTAATAAATAAACAGACTAAAGTTAATGATTTAATTTATGCTGGGATTAATTAATGTTAATATATTATTAATACAAACTTCACAGTTTAAGAATGCACAACAGTATGGAATCTTGCTTGACATAATTATTGTACAAATAATATACAATGTATAACTAATACAAATTTGTATAATTATATTATTTAAAATATCTTTTTAAGTTTTGTGTTTACATAAAATAATATATTTTTAAGGATTTAAAAAATTATTTTATGATTTAGTTTAAATAAATATTTGTTTATTTAAGGTATTAATAATAAAAATATCTATACAATTTAATTGTTATTAGCCAATATTGATATATTAGCCATTATTGATATATTAGCCAAGGTTAAATTAAAATAGTTACATGCGTTTATTGTATATCTTACTTTAGACATCACTACAACCATACATTTTGATGAATTTTCTTTTTCGATTAGACTGTTCATAATTTTTATAACACATTTCAATGGGCTATCGTTTATAGTTTTTGAGTTTCCCTTGATTAATCTATAAATAAAAAATAATTTGTCTCTCTCTAACTCCCTCTACATCCTATTTTCGTAAACCCCTCAAAATATGAGTCACCTGGAAGAATTTTCCGTTTTCTGCGCTTCAAATTTCGCATTCTTCGACTGCCGTCTCGAAACTGGTACTGTTCAACAGAAATTATTGTTTCACATCTTTTGCGACCTCGATGAGGATTTTTCGGCACCCTAATTTTTTTTTAATTTTTAATATTGTAAATATTCATTAAGTAATATATTGAAATAGAATATAAACACATATAATGATCAGTATTAAATTTTAATTTGAAAACAACAATAATTTATGAATAATTAACCCAACCCGTATTACTGTAGTATTAATGTTAGTACGATTTAGTTAGTTAATTAGTAAGTGTACAACTAATAGTCTGGGTAAGCAATTTTCAATAATGTTTGATCTGATGTTGTATAAAGTGTCACATAAATATAAAATTGTGAATGCTTATTATAACATTATTCATTTAATAATGATTGTAAATTCTAGAACTTAAATTATATTATTGTAGTTATTCGTAAAAGTTAAGTGTAGACTGTACACTCCAACACGTCACCGTGTCTCATCCTAAGTAGGAACCCAATACAAATACAAATAATGTTACAAAAATTTTAATATTTGTATTAAAAAAGCCCTTGAAAATGGCTTTGAAATGAATATTAAGATTATTTTTTACTTCTTTTTCTTGTAAAAATTTATTAACTTTATTAATATTGTAGTAAATTACAAAAAAAATAAGCTTGTTTTACCATTTTAACAATCAACGTTTTTTTTAATTATTTTAAATATATAAGGATTTAAAAGTTATTTAATTGTCTTACCTTTTTTAATTTCAATTGTTGGATTTAAGTTTGAGTTAGCAATACAAATATGAATTAAATCGAGCGATCTTGGTAAATTTTTTAATGACAAAGTGTTAAACATATGACTTAATTTGATTATTCCTGATGTTGGATCTATTATTCCCTATTAATAAAAATGTACTATTTGGATTATGCATAATTTAAATCATTTTGTTTAAAATATATGTTAAAAAATTTTTTTTTCACACACCCCGGCCAGGACAGCAGTTTTTTTAAATAATATTAAAGGTTATTTTAATGGTGATCATTTACTCAACAGGTTATTCGTATCTAATCAAATCAGAAGATTTTTTTAAATTTGTTTTTGTTAAATGTTTTAGCTTCGATGCGAAGCTGAGAAGGTATTTTAAATCTATTATTATTAGGTATATTTGTTTTTTTAATATTTTGCCTCTTACTCAGAGGCGAATGTGCTTTAAGATTACTGGTAATTTTGTTTTAGAGTATATTTTTGAAGTCGAGCCCTAAATACGTCTGTTACCACTTATTAAAAAAATTGCAATTACACACTTTTAGATGGATGACTTATTTCGATTATTTCTATTTATGAAAATATAATTCCCTGTTAAAAAAAGGTACTGTTTAGATTATGCATAGTTTATTCATGAAAATCAAATAGTGATTTATCTCACTATCGTAAATTTTGGAGATAATGGAATTAGAGATAATGGTGTTGAAGCCCCTCTATACGTCTGTTGCTACTTAGAAAAAAAATTGTACCCAAAAATTTTTATATCATTAAAATAATTTGAAATTTGCCGATTATAGACAAATTTTTTTTAATTGTCATATTATTTTTTTTTAACTTTCATTTGGTACAAGTTAGGAGGATACAGTTATTCTAGAACATTATCATAAACTAAAAAAAAAAATTCTAAAAATTTTAAAGTTCCATGACTTTGGTAGCAGATTATTTATAAAAAACAAGTTCTAGGATCATTTGTTTTTAACTTACAGTACATTGAATTAGTTTTATTTAAATATATAATAGAAATTGTTAGGAATGTTGGTACCATTTCAATAATTATATTGAAAACAATTTTCCTATCACATGCATTTAATATCCATATTTATTCAATAATTAATTGAGTTTCTAGAAAAAGTATCTAGATAATAAGTTTAGTCGTCTATAGTATCAAATTAAATTTATTTGAAATTGCGATACAAATAAAAAATTGCCGTTCTCAACGATTGTAATTTCTATTTTGATTAGTATAAAATTACAATTTTGTTGTAATCTTTATCATCGGTCTTATGTTAATTATGTGTATCTTTATCGGGAGGCTATTATCTACCTGTGTGAACGTTGTAAAATCCGAACGAGTCTGACCGTTACTGCCGGACATGCCAGTGTATTACTTAAATATAATCAAATGTACACGTTTACAATAATATGTTATTATTTTAAGTTTAGATTAGTAGTCTTTATTTACACGGTCCTAAAGTTTCGTTTTTTTCTACCGACTAAAGAGTAATATACAAAGTGTTCACTAATGTTTATAATGTTCCCATTGTTTAAAACAATTGACCCGACCCAACCCAACCCAATCAATCTATCACACCTAAAAATATTATAGTTAATTAAACCAAGTTCAGAATCAAAAAAGTTATCGTTTAACCATGTTTCAGTTAAAACAATGAAAGTACAATTTAAAGATGATACATTACAGTTAAAGTTAAATAATTTTTTCCTTAAACCACGACAGTTCTGATAGAATCCAGATATTGAGCCATTACATAGAGGTGTTGCTAAGAATGGTTGACTGCTTGCCGTTGACGTATTCTTCCGTTTTTTGAATGGTTGACAACAACTTTTAGCAATCCATCTTCATAATTTATACGTAGTCAAGATTCACCATCTTTAGTTCTTTATTTAAGCTCCACATAACAGGAACGCAACAATTTACGTTGAAGTGGGGTTCTATCACTGACCATTCGAAAATTATCAGGAAATGTAGTACCAGAGTGGTTTGCAGAGTTGAGCTCAGATAATAAGCATAAAGCATCTCCTTTACTATTTAAAATAATTTTTATAGGGCGGGTTGAATCTGCCCGGAGTTTGCCAAGGTGGACAAGTTATAAGTTCAGGGAACCAGCACTTGGAAGTGAAACAAGAATATTGTCAATTGTCAATTTGTCATGAGCTATTCGCTCAGTTACAACCGTCGACGTAGATTCAGGAATTCCGTATATAATCAAATTAGACTGACATTTTTCAAGCTGGTTAAGCTACTTTTTATTTGAATAAGGAATATTTTTTCGATTTTTAAGAGTAATAACTTAAACTAAATACGAATTGTAATCATTTGACGTATCATTGAAAAAAGTAGGTCTAGTGAGGGTGGCAAAATAAATCGTAGCCACAAAAAGAACCACATAGTAAAATAATATTATCATGAATATATATTTATTCACACGAGGGGAGACTATAGTGATAAGATCCTTTACATTTATTGAAGTTATTGAATTTAAATGAGATAAATATTAAATGATTTGAAAATTGTTCTATCTTAAAAAAAATGCAAAATATTAATAAATCCTAGATAGTTTGAACCTCGTACCCTAAGCAAGAAATACATAAGAGTTACCGACTCGGCAACTGTTCGTTATTTACGCTACTAGGTAAAATTGGCTATTTAAGCTAATTCAAATTTAAAAATTACTTTTTCGACTTAAAAAAAGCAAAACAATTTAAATAAGTTTAATGTCTTGTGAACTTTATTCTATGTCAATTAAATTATATAATAATCATGAAAGTCAATGTATTTTCCTAATAAGATATTTTAAAATAAAATAAAATACAAAACCCAGAATTTTAATAGAAAAATAGCATATATTTGAATATGGTAGCCATTTGCGCATAGAAGATAGGTCGTCGGGACAAATTTTTTTTTTCATTTTATAGTACATAAAATAAGCTTTAATTTAATATATGTTTAAAGGACGCAGTATTTCCGGAACATTTTCAAAAATTAAGTTGAAAAAGTTAGATTTTGTAGAAAAGTTGCTATTTTAAATCCCTCCCAGTTAGCAGGTTAAGTGATAATTTTTCAAATAAAATGATATCAAATGAAAGGGAAATATCTAAGGTTTTAGTATAAAAATTATGTTGATTTGTTGATATTTTAAAAAATTATCGAAGTTTTAAGAAAAAAATGACAAAAATTTGGCAATTTTAAATTTGTAATTTTTTTGGAGATTTCCCCGATTTGCGGGAGACCGGAATTCGATTCCCCGCCGGGGAGCCAGTTGTTACGACTATTGTCGTGGAACACCAGATAAAAGGGTTTATTTTTATCACAAAGTGGCATGTAGCCGTATATTGTTTTCTTCAGAAAATAGTCACAAAAAAACAAAATAAGAAATAAGATAAACAATATATTTAATATTTAATAAAACCAACGGTAATGTTGTAATATGTAGACGATCGGTATAGTACGGTGTCACGGAGATTACTTACCAGTAGTGATGATAAAAAATAGCAGTAGCAGCTATAATAGCACTGCTATTTTACAATAGTCGCAGACTGCTATTCAGTGTAAATAATAGCAGTGATTGCTAAATTTCGTAATTTATTATTACGTTCAAAATGGTTTTATATCTTTAATAATATTTTCAATAGTAAAGACAGTCAATCACCTCGTATAAGTAATACTATGTTAAGTTGATAAAAATGAATCATTAAAAAATAAATGTTACCATTTCCTTTTACTTGCAACATAAATTTTTTCCATTTAATTAATCAAATTACTAAAAGGTCTAAATTACTAAAAATATACTATTTTTAAAAAATATGTGATAATTATATAAGTGATGTTGAGACTTATTTTACAAAAACTCTTTATTGATAAATTTTACATTATTTTTCATTATTGTATTTTTTTTTTTAGCTTCGATGCGTTTTTTGATAATTTTATCATGATTATCTATTATAAAAAGTGTGATAGAAACATTTATCCACTATACAATAATTATATTATTTTAAATGGTTGTGTGCTTCACTAAAGCTATCGTTAAAAAAGGTCTAAATACAATTGGAAGTTAAATAAAAGAATAATTTGGTTTATTCTTATTAGAAATATCCATTATTAAATAATAAACTTTTCCAACTATTAAAAATCAATTTACTATAATAAGAATTAGTCAATTGTGGCTAATATTATTTAAAATATTAATTTAAAACTAAAAAATATTAAACACAAACATAATGTGGAACTTTTCTCCTTAGTTCAACTGTAATTGACTCTTCCATGTCCACCACGACCACCATCAATTACTACCCTTCTCGTATAATTGTAAGTATATATTCATCTAAAATACAATCATTCTTATTAATTTGATAGATAAAAATAGACATAAATTTCTATGAAATCCAGTTAAATTATTGTGATAAATAAAGCTTAGGTTTTCACTATAATTCTTTAGTTGTTTTACTTACAATTGTGTTTTTATGAATATAAAATTTTATGATTATTTATTTATAATTATTATATGATTAAAGAGATTTGTAATTTTTATATTGATTAAATTACTAAAAACTTACACAGTTACTTTTTATAGTATAAGCACCAACTATTACATACATAAAATGTATACACGTATAAAAAAATATATGCTACATATTTTTTGAAGATGTAGTAGTTGTATTTATTTTTAATGCCTAGTTATCTTTTGATTTTAAACAAATTTTATTACATTATTATAAAATAATAAAATACCAATCAAAAAAATTTTTGATAAAATAAAAAATAAATATAAACCTTTATAAATAATAAATTTATATTACCACATAATTTTTTCATTGTACTTTTAAGAAAGCCATCTTCAAGCTCAGGGATAATAAGTATTAATTAACATTAGTCTATTTTTTTAAATTTATTAAAAAATTTTCTAACCTTTGTTTTACAGAGATCAATATTTTCTTCTACTAGTTTTTTTATATTTTGACTAGTTATCATTGATTTAACTTCTTCAATATGTGCTTTATTTTTGTTGTATTTTTCACGGTATTCGATTACTTTGCTTGTTAATTTTGCATTGTCTACCTCCAAATTTATCTAGAATTTTTTAAAAATATTTTAATGAAGCTATAAATGAAAATCTATAGTAAAATTTTGTTAATACAATTAAACTAGATTGTCTTTGTTTTAATTCTTCTGGAAGTGTAAAATCCTTAATGTCACTTTTTAATTTATCTTTCTCACAGTCATTGAGGAAAAGCTTATTTTGCATTAAATACATTTTATTTTGCAAGTGTTGAAATTCATCTTCTAAACTTTCTAGCTATAAAATGTTTGGTATGTTTAGTAAATTTATTAATAACTGACAAAGCTACTTAAGAATATGTATTTAGAGGATGCATGAAAAATATTATATTAAAAATTATATATTTTTGATTAATTACAGGTTATATTAACTGTTCTCTAATAAAGAGTAATTTGTTTAATGATAGTCATTAATTTTCTCTAAAAAGAATAATTTTGTGAAGAAAATTATTTTTAGTATTTTTAAGTTTCATATTTACCTTGATTGATTTTTTTTTTTTTATGTAAAACTAATAATTACAACTAATAATTTAAATAATTTATTGAAAAGAAAATGATCTAATAAGAAGATTACTGATCAATAATGTCTTTTTCATTAGTACTTCAAAAATGAATGAATAATTTTATTACCTACACAGGAGAAGTTGGGTGAAGAAATTTCTAATGATAATTATTGTTATACTTGTACATCACATTGCCTCCAAAAATTTAAATTTAAATTTTTAAATAAACATTTATTAATCAAGGGTGAATGCTATTCTTAACAATGTAATAGACATTCGTAAGAGCTTAGGTACATAATCAATTTATAAAGTTCACATCTAATATACATAAATTCTCATTTTTTTATGATCAATAAAAAAATTTGTTGAGGGCAGACAAAGGTAATTTTTGGTGTTATATAGTGTATTCAAGAACAATTAATATATAAAAAGTTAATTTTTCATTTTAGTGCTTAGATTTAAATTTATAGGTCATTTTTAGTAGTACATGGAGTTTTATTTAAGGATATACATATATTGTGCCTAAACTTTACTTATAACACTCAAAATCTACAACATTTGAAGTGCTTAACATATCCAATGCACTTAAAATTTTTTCTGAAATTATATTGTATGTAAGAATAAACTCAAATCAATAATAGTCTTATTTATGAATCCTCCATTTGAAAATCAAAATTTAGAAAATAAAATTATTGTATAATAAGTTTATTTGATTACATATACTGTATGAAAATATAATATCTATACTTAATTAAAAACATATTCATTTCAAAAAATATTTGTACACCACATTATCATAATTCATTCGTACATTATTTTGATACCTTATTTTGAATGTTACGATTTTCAAATAAGGAATCATTATATTTTTTTTGCCACTCGATTACTTCTTTTTCTGTTTTTTCTAATTGTATTTGTAGTTTAATCTTAAATAAGAAAATGTATAAATATTCCAATAACATTAAATTAATAAAGATATTATTTTACATCAGTATCCTGGTTTCCACTTAATTTTGAAGTTTCATAGTCTTTTGAAATTTCATGGTATTTTTGTTTTTATTGATTAAGTTGTTTTTGAAGTTCTAAAACCTAAAAATTAAATAAAATTGATATTTTAATCAAATAAATAATATTACATTCATATAATATATACCTGTAAAGAATATATGAGGTGATTAGAAAACAAAAAGTAAAAGTGACATTAAAAAACAATTTAAATTAGAAGGTTAATCAAACTGATATAAGTAGTATCAATTAATAAAAAAATTGCATAAAAATCATGATAAACTTTTTTTTAATTACATGGTGTTATAGAAAATAAAAACTGTCACTTATATACCTATGTATCTAAGTGCCTCATATAAGAGGTTAAGAAGAATTTCATATTTAAAAAAAACATTATTTAGTATTAATAAAAATATTTGATATTGTATACAATGTATAATAATCAAAATATTTTAGTATTAATGTTTTTTTATATATATATGTCAAACTATAAGTAAAATATGAATTATAGATATAAAAATACCTTCAATTCAAAAACTCGATTATCTTGTTCAGCTTTAGTCTTTTGATCTAATAGAACTTCTTCTGTACTTTTTAATTGTTGTTTAAAGTGTTCTATTGCTAAATTCTGGCTTTCTAATTGTTTCTAAAGATTATAAATTAAATTTATGAAACTTATATTGTTTAATATACTACAAACATTTTATTTTTTTGTCCACTGTGTAAATCAATTAAAATGTAAAAAAAGAGTTAAAGAATATTATTAAAAATAAGAATAAAGTTTGAATGAAAATTTTTATGACTACATATTTTGGTATCATAAATTCAAAAATAAATTGTACAGCCATGGTTAAATTTAAATGCCTTTTAAATAAAACTTATTTAAAAAGAAAAAAATGAAAATATTTAGAAACATACCTTTATTAAGATGTTTAGCTCAACTATTATTTGAAAAATGAATTATATGAATTCTAGACTTTATATACTAATCTTAAATTCGTAATATACAGAATAAAAGACAAGCTATAGTATAAATAGCTATAGTATCGAGTAATAATGAAGTGGCTGAGTCTACATCACTATTTTTAATTAATCTGAGATTATCAATTTTAATTTTAGCAGTTGTTAATTGATCATTTTTTTCTGCTAATCTAATTTTTAGAATATTTACTTCAGATTTTAAATCCTATCAATTTTATTTAATTTATAATATTAATTTTTTATAGTAACTAAAAAAATTTATTAGATGCTTACTTTTATTTGTTTGTTAAGCTGGTTAGTTGACAAATGTTGATCAGATTCATGTTTTAAAATAGCTTCTCCAGATTTTAAAAGTCTATTTAAACGTTCTTGTATCCTCATAATAACATCAACTAATGAGGCAACTTTCTGATTAGGGGAACTATTTTTCTCTAAGCTGATATAATTGTGTAATTCACATCGTTCACTAAAAAATATTAATTTTAAATAATTGAGAAAATAAAAAAAAAAGAAAATGTTCAAATATAATTGCTCAAAAATTTTTTCTTACGCAACAGATATATCTTCAGAAGCCGGCGAATTACATTCATCAGTCACCAAGTACGAGTCAAGTTCTTTAATACATTTAGAAACTGATTTCTCTAAATCTTTAAGCTAATGAAAAAACATAAACATAAATAATATTATAATTATAAAGATATTATGTTAAGTAAAAAATTATATATACTTGTATTCTTATATTATTGACAATTATTTCATTATCAATAAATTCAGAGGTTTTTTTTTATTCTGTTCTTCAAATAACCTATTAAGCTATTAGTAAAACAATAAGTTAATTTATTAATGTATTTTTGAGATTTGACGTTTTTTTGGTATATTTAATTTTGATAATTTAAATATATCAATATATAATATATTAAACATAAATTAAGTAAAAAAATATTTATATATAAATTATACAATAAGTATATATAATTTATAAATTACAATACAATTAAAATTAAGAATTTTAAACAAATTTTTAATTTTGTAAAAAATTACAATTAATTAAAAATAATTAAAATAATATTAAAAAATAATATTCAATTATTGATATAAACTCCTAAAATTTATTGTAAAATCTATTATTTATTAAAAAAAAATACAAACTTATTGTAGCATCTCTTGTTGGGTAGATTGTTCTTCCTGTATTATATTGGAAAGTGTCTCAATGTAATTTTGATTAAATATTTCATTTTTTCTAATGTTTCTAAACTAATAATAGTTTCTTTCAATGATTTTATTTCTTTTTTAGCTGATTTTTAATAGTTTATTTGTTTTTTCATGTTTAGTTTTCAAATTTATATATCTTTCTTCAGCTTCATGATATTCATTCATAAGCATCTTAGTCTAAAAAAATTTCAATGTAATATAAAAGAAAATTTATTAATAAAAAATAAGAACAGTTATATTACATGAGTTTTTTGATCTTCTGTTCTTAATGATTTTCGTTCCTTCTCTCTTAGCTGCTCTCTTTTTTGTTTCGATGTCATATTGTTCTTGTTGAATGAAATAGGTTATGTAATTAAAAGATTTAGAAATTATTCGTAATATAATAGTATTTAATATAAAATGCTAAAACATATAATATAAGAAATGTACAACGGCAACGGGACACTTTACTCGATAGACGGCGAAACTATGACTAAACTGTTAACATGTATAGAACAGGCTGCATTGAGTAAAACAATATAATCGTAAAGGAATGTGTCCCTTTGACCTTGTACTATACTAACATAAGTAATTAATGAGTGGCTAAATAATAGTTGTCATTTAATAATTTTTAAGTAGAATGTAAAGTTACTTCTCTGTCACAAATTATCAAATGAAAAAATACATTAAACTGTTATTTTAAATAATATTACTCTACCCAGTGTGTTGTTTAATAATATCAACAGTTCTCTTTCGTTTACATGCTCAAGTGTTTGATCTTTAAGAAATGTTTTTGCAAAGTGATAGCAATCTTTTATCTGCTATAGATAGCTAAAAATAAATAATGATTATTGTACATTTTCAAAACAATACTTAAATAAAAATATACTTCAAAGAATATTTGTTTGGTACGGAATGCCTTTAGCAAAGATTTAGTATGTTACAAACATCGTTGATTATATTATATCGTTGACCGTTGATCTCCAGTGCGTTTCTTTACACACCCCTTTGCCCACCCAGCACGGCAAATCGATGACCTCTGTGTCGATTGTCATCAGTGTACAGTTCATTGTCGTAAGTTAATCTGTCAATTGTTTTATGTGTCTTTTTCTTTTTGTAGCAAGCGCCTTCGCTTAAATCGTAAATTGTTCGGCCATTGTACGTCGTTATTCTTTTATTTGTTTATTGCATCCTTATGCTCAAAGTTTACGTGCCCTTTCACGCCACTAGTGATTGGGCCCTGACCATTACTAAATATCTTCATTGACGTAGTCGCTTTTTCGCCGTCTGTTCTCATCTGTCATTACGTGCCTGGATCTACACTCTGACTCGTCATACTCAGACGTTCAACACCATTACCACAAGATCACTATCAACAACTTCATCTATTCAGCTGAGTTTATATTATTTTTAATGTTATTTATTGTTTGTTTTAATTGAGATTAACTATTTTGTTTTATGCCGCTTCGCCGGCCATTAGTATTTAAGGGTCCCCCGTTACCCCTTAAATTTAAGATACTCTCTGAAAACTTACTAATATTTGTGGTTATTTGTAATTGTAATTATTTGTAATTATTGTATACTCTTGATTACTAGTTGGATGTACAATTAGCCGTCATCAGATTTCCCATTCCCCCTTCAATAATAGCGATTTAAACAGGCTTAAGGTAAAACGGCATTCTAGTGCGTGGTGCACAACTAGCCATCCTACGGTTTAGCTGCCTCGTACAAAACATTGATCCTTGCGGCCCGGATATTTTAAGCTCTGTTTTATTAAAAGGCCGAAGAAAAGTGCAAAAATGAATCTCTCTGACAAAGAATTAGTTACCTCGCGTCTTCTTCGTGACCGCGTTCTAAAATCGATAGTCGATATATACTCCGTCGCAGAAAAATCAAAAACCGACGCTATGTTGAGACCGTCTCTTGACGTACGTGTCCGTCATTTTGATGTATTAGTTAAAAAATTCCGCGCTCACCAAGACAATGTTGTCAGCGCTCTAATTGACTTAAATCGTAGCGATGAATTTGAATTGTTCGATTCACTCGTCACCGATGAAATGTAAAATTATTATTATGAGATTAACGCAGTTGCGTTATTGCAACAACCCACCTCGTCTTTGACACTATGCCGCCACTGTCTTATATGGCAGTCTTTTACCTAAAATCGAATTACCTGTGTTTGATGGCAGCATCACACAATGGCGGTCTTTCAGAGATACATTTGATACTCTTGTTAATAATAACAACACACTAAGTAAAATAGAGTGTTTTCATTACTTACTCTTGTGTGTGTCTAGTACAGCATTCATAATCATCCGGTCTATTCCGTTATCAGACGCAAATTATGACATCGCTTAATTATTTAAATCAGGAAAGTTCAAAAGAGAAAATAGTAAAATGTATTGGGTATAAGGTTGACGTTTGTTATTGAGATATTCAGGAATCATTGTAGATAGGTTGTAACGTCACAAATTCGAAGGTGGACCGTTTATGATTTTTAGTTGCCTCATTAGATGAGGTTTTTATGAGGAATCAAGAACGTTTAATCCGTCGTTACTCGCGTGTATGATCTAAACACCGTTACTCGCGCGTAGAGCGATTCGCTTACCAGGTATATTTTATCATGAAAGTAATAATTTAGGGAAAAAAAAGGGTATTATTATTATATAATATACATAAATAAAAAAATTTGAATGTCTTTAGTTAATACATTAAAAATGATTATAAAAATCAATGTGCCATATTACGTTATACATAAAATGCAAAGTTCTAAATTATTATAGTTATAAACAATCAATAAAGTTATTTCAATTGTTTCATCACTTTCGTAGTTGTCGTCCTCAATATTTTGTTCTGTAGATGATGAAATACTTTCATCATTTTCACTACATGAGTCATTTAGCGACTCTACATCATCATTTAACCAAGACAAAATTAATTCACTTATGTTAAATAAAAATTCATTTTTTTCAGTTGACAATATTTTTCCTTATCGGGATGATAAAGTTGTGGTTCATCGATAAATCTATTTTTGATTACTTATTCTTAAGGTACTATGAATTTGAGAAAAGTACAACTACGAGCAAGCCAGTGGTTCTCATTTTAAAAACAATGTGAGGGAAATTCTCACATGCGAGCAATGATGGGTTAAACATATTTTTCTAATTTGATGAAGCTATTTTAAAACACGAATTTCCAATCACAAATTCGAAGGTTGACTGTTTATGATTTTTTTGTTATGTCTACTTATTTATTTTATCGCGCGAAAGAACCTTTTTCTGACACAGCGGTGTCGACCACTCATTATTTTGGCGCTAACCACTAGATAAGGCTATAAAAGAGAAATATAATTAAAATCGAATTGTTTACCAGTATTGATCCTTTTCAAAAAGACGGGCCGTTATCGATTTGAAATCGCCGTTAGATCGGTGTTGGCTCTTCTCCTTTCTTTCTTCTGTCATTGACCTTGTTAGGGTGCACACGTTTACTGTTTTTTGGTCTTTTTTTTCAATGATGGAGTAAAGCCGCCAACGGCGAACGGCCAGGTCTTTTCGGCGAAGCATCCAGACCATCGGATGGGTCTCTTCGGAGACCGGGTATCGTTTTCTTTTATATATTATATTATTTAATGAGCTATATTTTATTAATTATTTTATTTCACTTTTATTTTATCGTAAATTAACTTAATTTTGTTTACTTTTACTTAATTTTACTTCTAGCCAACGATAAGGAGCGAGTGTCCAGACCGCTCCTGATGTTCTTCATTAATTTCCGATTAACATTAACGGATGTGTTCCAATACCGTCCGTAATGTTTGTAATATTATTTGTTTTTTGTTTAAATATTTTATTTTATTTTTGTTGTCTTTATTTGGAGACATGGTTTTTGATGCATTCGCATTTTTATCCATGTTTAACTTAAATTTCTTTAGTAACTTAATTACTCTCGTGTATTTTATCCCTATTCCTTAATCTAGACACGGGCTACGGTATGTTTTACATATCAACCACATACAACTTTGATTGTCATAATTGTGTTTAATAAACCACGAGGTATTATAGTAATTTATACATATAACGACATATTAACTTAGATTATACTTTTAATTAACTTAAAATTAAATTCCACCTATGGTCCGGTAATCATATCGTATAGGTGTGACACCTCGCCTAGGTAGTGGCGACCCTTGCTACTATAGCTAGTCGTTATGCAAGTGGCAAACCATGTTGTTTTTACAGGCCGAATTATTAATAAAAAGCCCACTTGCAGAATGGCGACCCTGGCCAGGATAGGACATAAATGTCTTTACTTACTTTTTCTCACAATAAAGCTTTTCAATTAACGTAAAATAAGTTACTTAAGTACGTTATTTGATTTATAGTTTGGGGGTATAATTATGACGCCAGGACATTGGTCATGTGCCTTGGGAAATGTTTTATTCTCTTATCGTAGTTACAATTATTGTACTAATAAATTTAATAATAATATTATTATTATTTTATTTATGATATTCAATTTTTATTTTTACGTCGTTATATTATAAATATATGCTGAATCATTAAATTTTCATTACGAGCTCATAACATAAGTGTACGATTTTGGTCCTTAGGACATGTTATTTGCCTCGCCTTTGTATTTAGATTGAAGTTTGTAGCCGTACGGTTCTTTTTGTGTATTCGTATGTATTATTTTTTGTGGTGGTGGTTCGAGTGACCTTGTAGCTGTTAGCGAGTTTTTTCCGAGTCACATGGGTTATACGTTACGCCCCTGGATTTAATCATTATTATAATGCATGGAAGACACCTGTATTATGTGTCCACATCGAAGACCTCATTGAAGTCTTAGATTTTTTAGAATTAGATTAAGATATTTATTTAAGATATATATATATATATATTTAAATTTATATTATTCTCTCATAGGGCATGTTCCCTTTGCAGGATTTTTTTTATATTTTCCCCAAAATCTCACCTAGGTCAGTCACATTTTACTATGATAAGTCATATGAATTATTTTCATATGCAATTTTTTTTTTAAAAACAAAGTTGTGCTTTTATTAATTTTACTTGAATTCTTACTTTATTTTATATTATTATACGGTTTAAGTATAAAATAAGTTAAAGTAAGTATGAATACATTAGATGATGTAGAAGTTGCATGCGTTGTGTACGCCATGTATCTTTGCTGTACAAAAAAACATAAAATAAAAAAAAAACAAGTATTCGTAGATATTGGGTTCACCCCCTAAATGTAAAAAGTCCTCGAGAAAGTCAATTTCAAGTTAATTTTACCTTCGATGCGAAGCTAAGAAGGTATTGGTTTTACTACGAGGTGTTTTTTGTTTTTTTGTGTCTGTTACTACTTTTTCTCAGCTCTCACCGAACGAATTTCTTTTAACGATACGTCAAAAAATCACAAATCGTATTTAGTCGAAGACATTACCCTCAAAAATTGAAAAAATTTCCCTCGTTCAACGTAAATGGAGAAAACCTCCAAAAAAATTACAAAATTTAAAAATCGCTAATTTTTGAAATGTTTTCAATTTTTTTTGCTAAAAGCTGCCATAACTTTTTCAAAAATGAACATATTAATATAACTTTATTTTTTTATAGATGCTTGATATAAAATATATTCAAAAATAGTTTTTGTTTGTTTTATAAAAAAAAAACATTTTATTTTAATTTTACTACTAGACCTAAATATATATTTATTGCCTTTTTATGGCAAATATATATATTTGCCATAACAAGGCAATTAAAGTATTTCCTGGATGATAATAAAACATTAAAACACACATTTATAAACTATAATTTTTTTATGGTAAATGGAGTATTTGTAAACATCGCAAAAAGACTGACGAACATTAAATATAATTAACAAATTATATTTCTAGGACATTGAATTTTGTAAAAAAATTTCATTTTATATTTTTATTTTATATGAATTTACATTAAACCCAATTAATCAGGAAAAGTTTGTAAGACATTTAAAAAACTCAAAAATAATAATTATTTTACCAATATCATTTATGAAATAAAAATTGATTACTTAAATATTTATATTGAAATTTATGTTTGTTAATTTGGTTCAAAATGCCAGTCTTTTTTACAATGATCCCTATTCACAGTTATCCCACTGGACCATATAGCTGAATAAAGAATTTCAAGTAAATTTTAAGTTAAAACCTTAAGTTTTTTGAGTTTGACCAAAAATTAGATCTATAAACTTTAGTCTAGATCATAATAAAAAAATATGTGTTTCAAAAAAGATTTTAAATTATTTTGTTAAGTATTTTAAGTAATGTAATGGATGAAATAAAATTAGGCTTCTGCTAATTTTTGATCCATTTCTTCCTTAATGTCTAAAATTCTATTTAATTCACTGTCTAATTTTTCATTTAAATCAATAGTTTCACTTAACTCTTGTTCCATAAGATTTATATTTATTCATAACATCTCTTAATTGTTGATTCAATTTCTAAAATAATAAAATATTTTTTTTTAATTTTTTGATTGGTCGATAACAATTTTAAGACAAATATTCATTGAATTACAATTATTTTAACCCATAGAGTGACTATGTAGTGAAGGTAGGTGTTTACTGATGAATGAGTAGTCCTCCCGTGCTACATACTCATATTATGTATTAAAAACTTTGTAACTCAATAAGTATTTATTCTAAAAACATTATCAAACAATCAACATTTTTTGTAAGAAAAGAGCTAAAATAATGTTATTTCAAAGTTTTGAAAAAATAAAAACAAAAAGAAGTTATGTATTTTTTCTTATTAGTGATAAATAATAAAAAAATATTTTTTTAAATGTATACATATAAGTTATATTAGCTAGTATATATAACATACTTCAATAATGTGATTTTCCTCTTTATTTGTTTTTTCATCATTTATTTTACTTTCTAAATCTTTGATATAGCTTTCCATTTTT